CTTCCTGCCCTGACGGCGCGAGGCTTTCTAGGTGTAGAGGAAAGTCTTCCTGCCCTGACGGCGCGAGGCTTTCTAGGTGTAGAGGAAAGTCTTCCTGCCCTGACGGCGCGAGGCTTTCTAGGTGTAGAGGAAAGTCTTCCTGCCCTGACGGCGCGCGGCTTTCTAGGTGTAGAGGAAAGTCTTCCTGCCCTGACGGCGCGCGGCTTTCTAGGTGTAGAGGAAAGTCTTCCTACCCTGACGGCGCGAGGCTTTCTAGGTGTAGAGGAAAGTCTTCCTACCCTGACGGCGCGAGGCTTTCTAGGTGTAGAGGAAAGAAGAAGAAGACTGTTGCTGTTGTTATGAGGTGGTGATAAGAAAAAGAAAACTAAGAAGATGAAAAGGAGGGGAAGGACGTGAAGGACGTGAAGGAGGAATTAAGGGTGAACAGTTTTGAGGTGTTTCGTCTCTTCACTTAAAGCAGTAATACGTAACAAAACATGATAACAACACAACGACGACGACGAAGATACTGATGTTAATGATAATGGAAATGATGACGACGAAGAAGACAATGATTGATGGCGATGATGATGATGATGATGATAACGATAACAATGACGGTGCTGATGAATGAAACAAATAAAAAACAAAACAAGGTGTTTCGGTTATAATTTCTTCATCTGGTGGAATAAACTTCGGCTTAAACAAAAAAAAGAAATTAACAAAAAAGGAAGGCACCTCAATTTACAATGAATGGAGCGATAAAGTACGAAGAATAAATAATACATAAATATTTATTATCTCATTTAGTACCAAACTACTTACAAGACGTGTGTTATTGCCTTAAATTGCTCTCTCGCTTGCTCCGCTAGTTTTTACAAAGCAACCACAATTCTGAATTCTCTGCCCTACTTAGTTTTGCACTGCACCAATTCTTTCTTCTCTGCAGTCTGCTTACAAGTAAGCCAGATCTGTAAAACGGATGTGCACGCGAAACTAATTTTCTAGAACCAGGTTAAAGTCCAGAAGTGGAAAAACAACCAAAACTTTCCGCCAGAGTTTGTTTGCAGATGGTGAACGCGAGGAAGATCTCTTTCCCGTTTTCATCTAGTTTGCATCAGTTGCCACCTAATTCCCCAGTTTGTTTGAGGATTGTTTCCCCCTGCTCCTAGCAAAGTAAAGTTAAGGACCCTTCTCTATGCCTTCAGACGTAATGGGCATATAGGGCTAGACCTTTATTTTATAGACCAGTCAGCACTCAGTGGGTGATATGCTTAACATCACGCTGGTTTTCTATACCTACCAGGTCTTTAGCTGGTACCCATTTAAGCGCCTAGGTCGATCTGGAAGCCAAGATCCTTTTTGAAAAAAGTCCGGCTCCATTGGGATTCTAATCCACCACCTTCGGATCCTTAGGTGGACGTCTAGCTGCTACACCACGGTACCTCCCACCCCTTTTTTGTCTATTTTTCCGACTCATAACATGACCAAAACTCTGGATTTTCTACATCTGATTTCTGTAAGCAGTTTACAAATCAGTATCTAAATTAACACTATTATAAATAAATAAATATAGTAGAACAAGGCTATACAAAGTATAAAACACAAACATCAGACTGTTTACCTACTACATGTGCTTGTTTCACTACATACGTAAAACACGACCACCATCTTCATCATTATCATGAATCAGTATGTTCTTTACAGAACGTCGCTCTCATCGCGGTAAGCCGGAAAGTCTCGCTTTACCTAGCCATCTTTGCAGTCCTATATGGTGCTTGCATGATCAATGCATCCTCAATGTTCAGTATCCACACATGGCTGAGGTCGGCCTCTTGTCGCATTTTTCGGAAACTCTACCCTCCAACAATACACGACTCAGACCTCGTCAACAGCAACAATGCAATCAGTAAATATACCAAAGTTTCGACACACTGTCTGTTCTCATTTTCAGGTTCCACACAGACGGTTCAGTGTCAAGAGGCAAAAGAAGTGCTTGGGGCATCTTAGCAAAAGTTAATGGTCGACGTTTGGTGCAGGAGAGCCTAGCATATGATACCACTTCATCCAGCTTAAGAATGGAGGTGGAGGCGGTCACTGCAGCTTTCCGCTGGCTAGAAAACACGACACACACACACACACATTGTAATTGTAACTGATTCAGAAAGCATGCTGAGGAAGATCAGAACAGGTATGCTTCGTGCAGAGTGGCATGCTTCGCTGCAGAGGACACGAGTGAGGAGTATTGTCTGGATTTTTTCACCGGGTGGCGCCTGTGTGTTGGGAAATGAACAGACGGACAGACTGGCTGGCTCTGCACAACTTGGTGGAATACTGCTACATGATAGGCAGACGTGGTTAGTGCCTTGTGGGAGAGCCTGTACAATACAGAGGAGCAGATGGATCACCACAGTCTGGTGAGATTGATGCAGTTGGGGGTGACGAGAGGTTATGGCAGAAGCTCAAGGCTCAGAGGAAAGGCAAGACGGACGTTTAATCAGAAAGTTACTGGCACTATTAGTATCGGAACTCTTTGCTGGCCGCTGAAGATGGGGACGGAGCGCTTATGGGAATGCCCCGAGTGCTGTGATGTAGGTTCTTGAATCTAATCAAATCAAATCTTCTGGTTCCATGACCTTGATAAATCATGAAATGTGAAATTGGAAAGAGAATATATTTCACTGCTTTTTCTTTAAAATATTTTTCTTCTAAAGAGAGATTTGGATCGTTGTGTTAACAATGTGGGGAGATGTATTGATTTCTGACTGATTTAGTGTAGTGTATTTCCGAATTTGAGGATTGTCGTAGGCGTTTGTAAAACTGCCCAAACATCCAGGGCTCTATTCCTATTCCCGAGGGACTATGATAACTGACCTCGCTAAAAATTGGTGCTTGAAAATGTCATGAAAAGTAGAGGCAGCCGGCTAGATGCTGACCACATTATCCATCAAGTGTCGATTGGTATATGTAAATGTTAGTAGCCGATGTACCTTCTTCTTTTTTTCCTTCTTCTTCTTCTTTTTTTTTCTTCTTCTTCATCTTATTCTTTTTCTTCTTCTTCTTCTTCTTCTTCTTCTTCTTCTTCTTCTTCTTCTTCTTCTTCTTCTTCTTCTTCTTCTTCTTCTTCTTCTTCTTCTTCTTCTTCTTCTTCTTCTTCTTCTTCTTCTTCTTCTTCTTCTTCTTTCTTCTTCTTCTTCTTCTTCTTCTTCTTCTTCTCCTTTTCTTCTTTCTTCTTCTTCTTCTTCTTCTTCTTTCTTCTTCTTCTTCCTTTTCTTCTTCTTCTTCTTCCTCTTTTTCTTCTTCTTTTTTTCTTTTTTTTTCTTCTTCTTCTTCTTCTTCTTCTTCTTCTTTTTCTTCTTCTTTTGTCAAACTGCTTGTGCCGCAAAGCAGCAGTTCTCACCCTATAGGTCTCCACCCTTTTGAGGGTCGAACGACCCTTTCGCAAGGATCGCCTAAGACCACCGGAAAACATATGCACTGAAGTTATGAAGCAGCAAAGAGAATAAAATTATGGTTGGTAGTCAAAGACAGCATGAAGAACTGTATTGAAGAGTTGCAGCATTGAGAAGGTTGAGAACCAGTACCGTAAAACGTGGCAGAGAGGAGTTAGGTGTAGTTTCCTGTGTCTTGCTATCTTGGAACAATTCATTCCTCTATCCCCTTGCATGCATGTCCTAGAACCATTTCTAGCTGAACAATTTATTGAACAGTAATACCTGTATCACATAGAAAGACAGCAAATCAAATGGTTTGCCCATTTGGAAAGATTGCCTTCTGATGCTATACCATTCAAGGCAAATGCCAAAAGAGGAGAGGGACTTCGAGCAAGAGGTAGACCAAGAACAAAATGAAAGGATAACATCAGTGAAACTCTAGAGTACCATGATGTGTCTTTGGTCAAAGCAGCTAGAAAAGCACGGAGCAGGACCTTATATGTCACTCGACACCTGAAGCAGTAAAAGAGAACGTAAAGAAGAAAAAGAATACCTGTATCTCGACGAACCAATGGCGTAGAAAGAGTCTTGGCATGTATATGTGCCGTAACAGTCATCATAGTCATCGTATTCCTGTTGTGGCATTGTCTATCACAAAGGGCTCGCTGTCTATTGCTCCATTCCGTTCTATGCTGTACAATTCCTCTGATATCACGGATAAGATCCAGTCCAGCAACTTTGGCTTCTGTTGTCATCGTTAGTTATAGAAGTCTTTTTGGACGCCCTTGCTTTATCAATCCTCAATGTCTCATTTTAGGGCCTGTCTGGTGACTTTCTGCTCGTTTCTTCCCGGGATGTGTGCAGTATAGTTTCTCTTATAACTGTAGTTAATAGTAGTCGCTAAGACATTTCTCTTTGAGCCATGCTATGCATTAACCTAAGAAAGGGAAGAGGAAAGTAGAACGCCATGAAGATTAGGAACGGGATAGAAAAAGTTATAAATCTACAAAAGTACAATGAGTTAAACATCAAAACCATATGTGCCCATCAACACCTGAAACTGACTGACAGACGTTCAACCCCACCAGGACCGCACAACAAGCGATAAACACCATGTGACACAAAGTGCCACCATTCGGATGAGAATCACCCCGGTTCTAGAAACCCCGTTCAATCAGTAGCTATATAGGGCCCCCGACGAAAACCGGCGTATGGATTTAAAATGACAAAATAGCGTCACACAATGGGATGGGGATTATTAAAAAGCCGAAGCTATAAAAGAGGTATTAAAGAAGAAGTTAAATATTCAAGGATAAAGATTCTAAAAACCGAAACGTCGGAAACATTTTATATTGTCATTTCGTGCTGCGGTGAACCTCTTTCTATTAAAAACTAAATCACCAATTCGAGAATCGAAACAAACTTCTGAAACGTTGGTATGCTTACTAATCTCATTCTAACAGCACAGACCTTTATCGTGTTTGCAAACATAAATAAAACAATGTATAACCAATGTTTGTGTTATGGCTAGCATATCACATTTGTTTTCACTTTTGTCGCTTGAAATAATTTGAGTCCCAAAATTTACTAATCATGTTTGGTACTTTCTCCGTTAATGGTGATCGCTCCATTCTTGTAGCTGCCATTTTCAGCTTTGTGGGTTTGTTTCGCTGGGTTCTTGGTGTAGGCTCGCAGGTAGAACCGGACGAAGAGGATCAGGATGGACACCGTGTAGGCGTAGGCGGGGTAACAGAATACTTTAGGGAGGGTGTTGCCGTAGATGATGTTGATGACATCTTGCAGGAGGTACACTACGAACTGTCCCTGGGAAGAGAGGTCAGATCTTTGTTATTATACTGATGGTGATGACGACAGGGTGTTAGAGAAGGTGAAAAATATTAGGATGAGGATGTTGATGATGTCTTGAAGGAGGTACTGACCCTGGAGAGAGAGAGAGAGAGAGAGAGAGAGAGAGAGAGAGAGAGAGAGAGAGAGGTCATATCTTTGTTTTTTTTACTGATGGTGATGCTGATGACGTCTTGCGGGACGTGCACCACGAACTGTCCCTGGAGAGAGAGAGAGAGAGAGAGAGAGAGAGAGAGAGAGAGAGAGAGAGAGAGAGAGAGAGAGGTCATATCTTTGTTGTTTTACTGATGGTGATGATTGGATATTAGAGGGTGGGAGAAGGATTAAGATGGTGATGCTGATGACGTCTTGCGGGACGTACACCACAAACTGTCCCTGGAGAGAGAGAGAGAGAGAGAGAGAGAGAGAGAGAGAGAGAGAGAGAGAGAGAGAGAGAGGTCAGATCTTTTGCTATTATAATGATGGTGGTACTAAAGGTGTTAAAAAGATTAGAATGGGGATGTTGATGACCTCTTGCAGGAGCTACACCCCGACCTGTCCCTTTAGAGAGAGAGGTCAGATTTTCGTGATTATACCATTGGTAATAATGAGGAGGGGGATGAGGACGATGTGGATATTTATGATGATGAGGATGACGACGAGGATAATTATTTTAGTGATAGGGGTAAGTAAAGTAAAGGATCCTCTTTCACGCCCTAATGAGTATTAGGTATACAGGGCTAGACCTATATTTTATACACCAATGGGCTCTGGGTGGGTGATGTGGTCAAAATCACGCCGACCGCCTTTACTTCCTATAACCGGTACGCACGCAAGGCTGGGTCAGTCTGGAAGCCAAGATCATTTAAAAAATTCCCGGTTTCGTCAGGATCCTAGAAGATTAAAAAAGTGTCTTTTGTTAGAGTGCAGTTGGTGTATTCTACCCCTACCTCTATTCCGCTCCAAATGAGACACGGGGGAAAAAAAGAAAACACAATATCCTTATCTAAAGAGAGTGGATTCAGCTGGCATTGACCAGGAGGTATGAAAGATGGCAGCGCAGTATCACGCGTAATAATAAATCTGCACGTTAACTTTTACAAGATAACACAAGAAATCGACGGAAACCGAACACTGATTAGTGATTTGTGATTAAAAAGGGTTATCATCACAGCACTCTTGACAGATCCATAGGTGCTCCGATCTCCTCCTCTAAAGCTCCACAAGTGTAAAACGACTGATGACGCCTGTACTGTGTTGGGTAATGAAACGTCTTGTCCTCTTAGTGAGATGTTCATTTCTTGCAGCTTCAGGCTGCACCCCCATGTCCATCAATCTAGACAGGGATATGGAGTCATGTCCTTTGGCGTGCTTCCCGGTACGGTAAGTGCAGCGCTTGGCATTGCTAACATCACTTCTGTCCGAACACTGACACAACTTACAATTTGAATCATGGTGACACAACAACAATTGTGCACATTTACACTTACAAGATGACACAAGAAATAACGGAAACCCAACACTGACACAACTTACAATTTGGATCATGGTGACGTATTTCTTCCACCACAGGTACTTGCGGAAGCGGGGTCCCAGTGCGGACAGTCCGTAGTAGGTGTACATGAGAGAGTGGACGAAGCTGTTCAAAAGTGGA